ACAAAAGTGTGCCTAGTATTTTTAAGCAACCAGTTCCTCCGAATAAAGACCGTCTGCAGACACAATGGCATTCTAGGAAATGACTAATGTAGTTTCATTCCTCAGTTCTTTAATGCCAGTGTCACAGCAGCTGAGCAGGAATGCGAAATGTATCCCTGTCGCCAAAATAAAGTTTTAAAGACAACACCTATGACCAAACACAGCCTCTGTGATGTGTCCACAACATTGCGTCACGTGCACGGAAGTACTCGAGATACATTCGTGATACCAAAAAATACTGGTTAATTTACAACTTCATTTCGTACCTTGCTAAAACACCGCGAGTTGCAATCATGTAAACTAAAAATACCTATTTATCAATAAACAAGCAACAAAGATACGAATTTGAACGTGTGGACGAATATATTCAGCTTTCAAGGCCTAGTGTGTTAATTCGCTTCGGTTGAGAACTTGGATTTCCTACTCTTGTTGTTTACTAAAGGCAGCATTACGTTAGCATCGTAGCTAACTAAAATGCTAACAATATCGTTAGCTTCAGATGCGTGTTTAAGTGGAACAATGGTCAAAACTCACAGCACCATATCAGCGACACTCATTTTTTTGTTTTTARCTGAATGGCTGACACATATTACGTTAAGTTAAGTCACATTACTTCTGGTTTTGTTTGCACACTTTAGCCGGTACGTCACATAAGGACGGTGGTATTTTTCTGTACCGGTTATTTACCGCTACGTTTTTCTTCACACGCAAACGAAGATATAGAATAAACCTGGGAGCTGCTGCTGCTGCTAAACAGGTAGCGAGATATTTACTTAGCTGAAGTTTTACGACTGAATATACAAAGGTTGCCATGCAAATAGTTGGTCCTCGACACTACTAATTCAGAGCTTGACTAGTTACAAAAACACTGCTGTATTTTATTAACGCTGGTTCTGATGCCTTCCTGTCATTATTACTTTTCTCAACTCTGATCATTATAATTATAGTAATCCTTCCCAAAGCATCCAGCTCCAACCCCCCAGTCAACAGAGGAGATAAAATGCACTGATGGCTCCCAAATAAGCTGACAAGTTGAAGGTATGAAGTTGTCTGCGGCTTCTTTACTACAGTGTTATTATGTTTTCATAACAGGAAAGCTGCCAGTGTTCTCATACARCAGGACAAAGAGCAGATTACTTGTGTCACATGTTCCGGTGGGTGGATGATGTGTTATACTGTACATCAGCTGACACAACTCATCCAATAATGATAAAAATCCTACTTTCATGTCTTTGTACATGACACAGCAGCGGATCAGGAATGTGAAACTAAGGCCAACAGTATTTTTCACCTGGTTTTGTTTCCACTTTTGTTTCATCCATCATGATTACACAGCAGCTTCCTGTAATTTTGTTTTTAGTGTTTGAACATTACTCAAATGAATTTGGGCCTTCTAAATACTGGCAGTATTGTTGTGACTGAAAAATGGACCCTGGATTGCTCCACTTTTTATTTATTTTTTTTTATTTATTGTACCTTTGCTTAGTTTCCTTCTTGTTGCTTCATGTGTGTAGTGAGACCCTGCCCATTTCTGAGAAAATGAGACTGTGGCTGTGGTTGACAAATCAGCTGGTTGATAGTTTTCAGTTTCGTTTCTCACAAACAAGGAGAGCAGATGGAGGGGAGGGTGGTGATTTAAAAGCTGAAAAGGGACGATTGCTGGCTCATGTGCTGTTCTGGTTAAAGAGGTTCATTACATGTGAAGTGAATTGGCAGAAAAGGTAAGGAAGTTACTGACTTTACAGTTGTTGTTTTTTCTTAGACATCTTGGTTTGGTTTTTGGTGTGTAAGCAAATTACTTGTTCCTTCAGTGTTGTGATAAGTAGCACTAAGTTTTTTTTTTTTTTTTTTTTGTGAAGAGAGTAAGTCTATCTCTGTGGTAGATGGAAGGTAGATTCTGAATATATAAACAACCTGATGTGTGATGCTGGATTTTATCTTCAAAAAGCTGTGGAGTAACACYGCTGTCCATTTAGATTAATTAATTTTTACACATTTTTACTTTAAAACGCTACTGTTTAAGCATTGAAACACACTTATTATTAGCTTGTCTTACATTTTCTGATTCATTACACGTTTACAGCTTTAGAAAAATACATTGAATTCTTCCATTAAAGCTCGCCAGATGATAATGTTCTGTGACCTTTGGTAGCAAAAAGATCATCATCAGATATATCTCCCTGTGTACAACAAGGGTATTGCTAGAAAAACAAGTGAAAATTCATGGTTAATATTTAGGAAAAGCTTAAATGTATTCTTGAAAATAAACGTGAAAAAAGCCTGGATTCATACAGAGCTTAGTCAGAGTCCAAATGGATAAAAAGAAATCATCAGATCTGCTTTCGTTTGGCAAAGAGTGAATTTTAGATTGGTTAATTGCAGCAGTGTTCTTTTTTTTTTCTAAAATTTTTATAAAAAATTATAAAAATTATTTCAGTCTTATTTAAAACTGAGCAAATATTTGGTGTTAGTTATTAGTAAGTTACACTTTTAATGGTGGTCTCTCTCCCCTTGTTAGCATTAATGAAGATGGAGAAAGTTCTACAAAATGTCGTCGCCTTGGTGAAGGAGAACCAAAATGGTATACCTGTGAAGAAACTGGGTCTGTATTACAACAAGAAATACCGCAGCAGCCTGTCTCCACGGGCCTTAAAGTTTAACTCCATGCTCAGTATGGTTTCTTCTCTGGAGGACCTGGTTGTGAAGAACAATTTGGTTCTTCACAAGGACCATTGTCCTCAAAGTCAGGCCGAGGATGGGGTTGAATTTGGAGCTGCGTCTCACAGTGGAGCCTCAGCAGCCTCTCAAGAAGACATTAAAATTTTAGGTACCCTGAAAAAAGTTGCTTCCTTAATGATGGAGCATCCAGAGGGCATTCTCCTGAAGGATGTGGCAATCTACTACAGCCAGAAGTACCACAAGAATCTGTCCTTAGCCTCTTTGGGTTTTAAAACTATTGCCTGCCTGGTCGAATCTTCGAAAACAGAACTGGTTGTGAAGGGGGGAAAAGTGTTCCATAAAATATACCTTCCTGAAAGTCAGCCCGGAACCTCGTCCAGCCTTGTCGGGAACAGTGCCGCTGCAGCTTGTGTTCCTGTGCCTCAGCCGGATGCCAGYCCTCACAGTGTGCTGCTCACTCAGCCAGATCTGAAACACGGCACCCCTCTGGTTGCTTTTTCTTCTGCGTCTTCTACCCAATGTGCTCCTGCTAGCCTGGTCGTTCCTGCATCCACACCAGGTCAACAGCTGACCCAAGACCAACTGTACCAACGGGTTTTACAGGTCAGTTCCTGCAGGTTCACACATGTGCACATCTATGTTTGTCTATGATCTATGTTTATTCCTCATATTGCACTTCAGTATTGTTATGTTGTGTGGTTCCTGCTAAAATAAGAAAACATTTTCCCCTAAAATTATTTAACTAGCTGTACCATGGTTGACAATGGGTTGTGCAAATCGATCAGGGGACATTCCATTGTTTATTTTATTTTTATTTTTATTTTACTTGACAAGGTGAAGTGTGCTTGGATGTTTGGTGTGAGGCACAGTGATGGCTCACAGTCCAAGTTCAGACCTCAGAACTCAGAGACTAAATTAATGGTCCAGCCATAGTCCTATGTGTACTAACACTAAGCTAAATTTACATAGCTGTACTACATGGCAAATTGCTGTCGATCATGAAAGAATAAACAGTACTGATGRCATCACTGCACAGGCTCTATATACATCTGTTTTACAGCATATCTCTGATTTTACGTAATTTTACCCAAATTTATCACTATGTTATTATGTGAATCTAAGTTGGTGACCCACAGCAATTGTTGTATTGAAGTTTACTAGAAGACCGACTGCATATAAAGTGATCAAATCCCTTTAGCAAGTTATGACTGGTTAAACAAACAGCGGTGATATTAGTGCCTCCACCTTCCAGTGAATCACTGTGCATTTTTTTCTTTTAATAGCATTTGCTTTAAAAGACTTGTCTTAACAGCTCTGTTTCAAAATAACATTTTATATGCGACACACACACAGATTTCTAGATTTCCAGGCATTACGTATGTGCTTTAATAGACCACATCACCATTACTCCAGATATTTCCTTTTTTTTTTTTTTTTTTTTTTTTTTTCTGCATTTGCATGTCCAGACTTCTTACAAAATAAAGTTTTGGTGAGCATTAAACAATGTCTTAAAAAAAAGAAAAAAAATCCATGTGGACTTCAGATACAGAGCTTCTGTAGTCAATCTGATTTGCAGATAGGCACAATCTCTTTCTCCCCTAGAAACCAAAACAACTGAGTTGGTTTTACAGGTTTTCTACATCATTCTCACTTCACTGTGATCCAGTCATCAGGCTTGATGTGTACTGAACCCCCCCCCCCCCCATTTTATTGTTGTTAAACAGCATCAAAATACAGAAGAAGAAGCTATAATTGTTTTGGGAAAATCTAGCCAAACTAATCATGTTTGTCTATATTTTTGTATTTCATTAATGTGGATGTTCTCCCTACCTAGTGGTGGGATTTGGGTATTTCAGCATTTTTGTTAAAATTGTAAAATTGTGCAGYTGAAGAAAAAACAAAAACTTAAACCTCTGGAGTTGTGCTGACTGGGCAAAGGTTACTTCCCCCCCTCAGTATAGACAAAAAGTAAACAATCCTTTGAAGACAATTCTCAATGTTTTAAATTAGTTGTTTTAGAATACATGTATGATTGTGGGTTTAAGGGTTTAGATAGGGTGCACACAAAGAGCAACATGTTTTATTTCCAGCTGTTTTTATTTGTTAAACATTATTAATAACAACCCATTTATTGGTTCCAGGTGTTAAAGACGTTCAAGATTACTTTTCCAACGATGGATCAGCTCCAAACCTGCTATTCTCAATTATTTGGTGAACCATTTCCTCTCAGGCAGTACATGTCTCTATATGACAGCTTGGAAGCTAAGAGTCAACCTGCCAAATCTGAACCAACACCAAATGCAAAGACTGATCCATGGCAGACAACTGAAGGTAACAAGTGCTGTCAAAAGTTGGTTTTCATTTAAAAACAAAGATTGTCAATGCTCCGTTCTGTCAACATTTGTCTTGTGTCTTCTTACAGCAGCGCAAAATCCAACAAAAAGTTCTGAAAAAGAAAAACAACCAGACAATGGTCCGAACCTACTTTCTGAATCTGACTTGCTGGTGCTGGGTGCAACCACGAGCTTGACCAAAGAGAAGAAGAAGAAGAGCAAAGTACCAGATGCTGCACAGAAAAAAACGAATGTCCATGTTTTTAAAGACGCTTATCATGCTCAGCTGAGGGAGGTTCATGGAGAAAACATGCGAGCAGTGGAGGCCATAGAGGAGGACAATGAGCTGACATCGAAGAGGAGGAACTGGAGCATGGATCCAGATTATGTCAACAGTGTGGTGAAAAATGCAATAGGAGAAATCGCTGCTGAGGGAGAGCTGGTCACCGATAAAAAGGTGAGATGAAACGAACAGATTTTGATTACTTTGGCTCTCTAAATTCCACCCGTAAGGTCGTTTGTATGATGCGTTTCATCCCGTAACCATAAACTCAGAGTGAAAATTAATGGAACACGTTTAAAATATATGATCACATAAAACAGTAAAAATTATTACCTTAATTAACATGTAAACCTAATGAAAAGTGTTTTTAGTTTGCCGTTTATGCTGCGGTGCCAAGATCTTTTGGCAGAGTGTCCTGTTGAATGAGACCACAATGGTCTTCTTCTCATAACAAGAAGACATATACTCAGTGGCCCTAATGGTCTAAATGGTGTTTATTACATCCGCCAAGGGCGAGGTAATGTTTTCGGTCGCGTATGTCTGTCTGTCTGTCTGTTGGTCTGTCATTCTGTCGTTCTGTCTGTGGACAACATTACTCAAAAACTTGTGGATGGATTGTCATGACATTTTTACCACATGTGGGTACTGGCTCAAGTAACACACTTTTAAATTTTGGTGATGTTCCGGATCACGATGCGGATACAGGATTTTTTTTTCTTTTAACACTCTGAGATAGCCAAAGCTGTGATGCTTTCACAGGGCGTGCGTTTCAAAGTGTCCAGCAGGTGGCACTGTAGTATTGGTGTTCCCCTTTGTAACTCTATTACAGGATGGAGGAAAYTGGTCTTGGCGAGGTTTGCACTGTCCGAGTGCTTCTAGTTTAGCATGGTGTTAGCATGTCAACAAAATAAGAYGGAGCAAGGCTATGTAAAGCTTTAAAAACACTATAACGCATTTTTAAATCAAGTCTTTTTTTAATAGGAAGCCAGTGAAAAGATTTTGGAGTAGGTGTAATTTGTTCACTGGGTTATGGATTGTAKCATCAATATTTTAAATATGAGGAGGGTTTTCTAGTGTTTTGTTAATCCTTCAAAAACTACCCACATAGCAGACAGGTGTGGSAAAATTGGYGCKGTTTTTAAGATGGCATGCCACAAATAGCCCAGTTGTGGTTTGGTTTATGTGGTKCTGGCCCATGGACYACGTCTGRCAAACTACATCTGGGCCATCATTCTTTGTGCTATCTGGACCAAGTGTTAAGAGTGTTAGTGCACTGTATGGGCAAGAACTGGACCAGACAAATTTTTGCTATGTGGACACAGTTGATTACAGTAATCTAATGGACTAAAACTGAGTATAAACTAGTTTCTAGGTCAGTAATGTCAGGAAGACTCTAACTATAGTTAAGTTTGTAGGTGATAAAATACAGTTTTTCATTTATTGTATGTGTTTTTTAAAGTTTAAATCTGAATTCCCAGTCACACTTATTTATGGGTTTTTATTTTTTTTATGTGAATACAATGACAAAAACATGAAATGACATTATATTGTGTTTTTTCCAGAGTTGTGAAAAGTTTCAGCCACAACAAAAAAGAGATACGWAAAAATGTTCAAATTCCATTGCTGTCTAAAAATTGTCTAGTTGTGAAGCGGTGATGTCATCACTGATCACCTGCAAACGAGGCCTTTATATGTACTTTCAGAAATGTTTGGTCAAACACATTGTTTGCCTCTGAAATTGTCTGCCTATGAAAAAACAGAATGCTTATATTTTTTGTTTGGAAATGATAGTTTGTTTCAATTAGCTCCAGTTTCCAGGTAGTTCCTAAAAATTCCCATAGAAAGTTTCCAATTGGGAATATTTCCTAAACTCCACTGTTGAACTTCCCAAGAACTGTTTCTGGAATTTTACTGTTGTTTTGCAGCCCTGCTCAGGACAAGATAATTCCAGTTTAGTTCTTGTTCAGCTTTAAGAAATGCTTTCCACAGAAAATATTTAATATCAGAAAATCAATAGTTAAGATCAACCAGTTAAGGTGATTGTTAGAAACATACTGTATATGTACATCTGCGTATCGTCAGCATAGAAGCATTAGATCTGCTATGTTGTCTAATTATAGACCCTAGTGGGAGCATATACATATTCATGGTCTGCTCRTATCAAAATGTTGCTTTGTAGCAATCCAAAAACATTTTTACTTTTTGTTATTTAAAATAAATCAAACTGTCACTCCCACAYAGACTGTTTCTCTGAGTCTTCAATGTTGCTCTGCCACTTTTTGCAAAAACTAAATAGAGAGATTTTGTCATTTTTGACCATTCCTCACTGGTTTTCACAACTCTGTCCAGGTGATCTCCCGGGTGTGCGAGATGATTCCTTCTTTGGACCCAAGAACTCTAAAAGCTCGGAATGTTCCAGCATTAAAAGATCTCGAGTACCTCATGAGACAGATCAACATGTTCATAGAGGTGGGTACTCTTCTGTTTGATATTGACTCATTATCTTTAAAAGTTATTAGTTGGTGGATGTAAAACTTTTTTTCTCCTTTTCTGTCAGGCTACTGAGGCAGTAACATCCATCTGTACCCTTCATGAGCTGGGCCAGTCGTTGGCTGGCCTGAAGGACAAGAAGCGCTATGAAGAACTAAACCTTGGGCCCTTGTGCAAACTCCCCCTCATTCATCGCATGTTTAAGATTGATAGCAACACCAAGGATGATGAAATCCACGAGATCCAGACTGTAGACATCTTAAAGGTACTGCTCAGCACAAGTTAAACTCACTAACCAGAGGTATATTTGCTCTTCTTGACAGAAACATAGATTTTCACTGCAGGATGTCAAAAATGTCATTGCTCTGCCGTTAACCTGACAGAGGTCTGCRGATRTTACAGTAGACSAGACTTAGGGTGTTGKTAGTTAAAAAATGGTCCATGTTCTGGATTTGGTGACACCATTTATAGGCTGCATTCCTAGCAAGCCCTCACTTTACCAAAACCAGTTCCTGCCTGATTCGGAACACACTATTCTAGTCTTCTTCCTTCAGTCAAATTTTCCCACGGTTTCAGGATGGTTGGGTGCTCTATGGCTGCTTGTTCCAAATCTTTTCATTGGTTTATTCTGTATCTCCAGGGTTGTTGTGTTTATTGGTGGACTTGTGGMTTTTGGGAATMTTTTTTTCTKTATTTGAAGGTTATGATGATGAGCCAACAGAGTGGGAGCTCAAGTTACAAGGGTTTCAGACATTTCATATTGAGACTGACAATCTTCTAATCAAAGGAGTGGCTTAAGCTGATCTCAGGAACAACCTCAGAGTGTTCCTGCTCAGTGTTTTTAAGCACAACCCTCAAGCTTCCAGGTAGAGGACCTGAATGTGAAATACAAGTGCCACTTCTCATGTGAAAAGGGCACATTCAGAAATTGTTTGGTAGAGTACAAGGTAACAGGAAGAAGAAACAAATTGTGTTCTTTATTTTTTATTTATTTGTATTTATTTTTATTTTTTTACACAGTAACAGTAGCAGAGAATCAAAGTCCAAAAGAACTGCCTTTGTTAGTCGGGAAGCTCTACATTAGCTTGTACGGCCAGGTAGAAGTTGTCAACAAGTAAATTCAGTACAAAATAAAACATTACTGTCTTTTTATGTAATCTGAATTGTAAAATGTAACTCACAAGCCATGCATTAAACAGAAAGTTTGATCAACTCCAGAAAAGCATCTCTCACAAAATTACTTAAAGGGCCAATATTATGTGTTTCTCAGGCATATGTTTAAATACTATACCATAATAAAGTATCTACAGTATGTCATCTGTTTGCTGTTATTAAAATGCTGTTTTATGT